ATGCCTGTGTAATGCTAATTTGTGGTTGGCAGGAGATTGATTGGGAAGGAGCTGAATAATGGCAAGACAAGGCTGAGCTCTCTCCTACTTCTGGAGTGGTTGGTGTGTGTGTGTGTGTGTGTGTGTGTGTGTGTGTGTGTATGAGTGGGAGTGTGTCTTCTTGGAAGAAAGTAGCAATAAGACCCCAGAAAGGGTGATTATAAGAGAAGATGAAGTCCGGATGGGAAGATTTTTGAAAGAGGCAAGAGTAGAGAGATGGTGGTGCTGGACGCCAGGAGTTTTTGACCCAATGATGATGGAAAAGAAATGGAGTCAGGTGAGTAAACAGGTAGGCAAGGCTTTTTTTTTTTTTAATGACAGTGGAATGCATTACAAATCTTATTACACATATAGAGCACAATTTTTCATATCTCTGGTTGTGGAAGAGACACCACTCCTGCAAGAAGATGTCAGGCTGGCTCTCTCAATGGAAGAAGGGAGCTTATTTTTATTGGTCGCTTGCAGAGGTGGCAATGCCAGTTGGCACTTCACAAAAGCACTTTGCCCTGTCTATGCTGAAAATAAGTTACTGCAGCTGTTCAAAAGAACAGCTAAAGGCACCCTGACCTCAGCAAAGCGAAGCCGACACTGGCTGAGGGTGGCACACACCAAGCCTCCTGGCATCTTCCTATTGAGCCAAGGCTTGGAAGTGCATGTGCTCTTTGTCCCACAGTGGTCCCCGTCTCAGTCTATGGAGTCTGGGATCACAAATTTGGAGAGTTTTTTCTTTTTCTTTTTCTTTCTTTTTCCTGACAGGAGTAACATGCTACTTACTGTTTTTACCATATTCTATTCATCAGATCCAAGTCCTAGGTCCAGCCCACACATAAGGGGAAGGGATTCTACTTGGGAGGTAAGAATCATTGAGAGCTGTATCAGAAGCTGCCTATGACATGAAGAAAGATTCCAGCAAAAGTGCCTGGTACATACTAAGCGCTCAAGAAAAAGATATTTTTGTTATTTGGACAATGACTTGTCTAGGATGTGTGCTAGGTTTTCCCAACATGGCCTGGGTGGTCTCTGATGTCCCAGCTTCAATTCTATGGGTATTGCTGGTTTTTCTGGGAAGGTGTTTCCCTCTGGCACCCTGAGGTTTGTGACCAGCTCTCTGGGTGCAGGCTTGCAGATAGAGGGTCGATGCTAACTCACACTCACACAATCTTCCTCAAGTCCTCTTCACAAACGTGTGGTCTTGCATCGTGGTCAATGTACAGATATTTTAATTTCCTGCTCACCTGCTCTGTGGAGGATCTGATTTCTTCTTGCTTTTATTTTTCTCTCCAGCAGTCTGTGGACAGGTACTTCTGTCTGACCATCTGGTAGCCATTCACCTTTATGGCGGCTTGAGAAAGGAATTAATTTCACTTGTTTCTTTAGCAATATCTGCCTCTTTTGACAGCAAGTTACCTTTATCACCTCTTAAAACTCTTACTATGTTGGTCCTTCTGGTCCCTTGGGGACTCTTTAGATCCCCTAACTTGGTGCAACTGCATCTCCTCTGGCTCAGTGTTCCCTTTCTCTTTGCTCTACCCTTTAAACATCCTACATACTTCTGAGTCTGCCGTTGCCTTCCCCATCCGCTGTCTGTGGAGAGTGATGGATTTGGCCCCCGTAGACCAACTGGAGTGTAATCAGAAAACAATCAACTGAAAGAGAAAATGTGACCCCTGCCCTGATCCTGCCCTTCTGAGGACTTCTTGAAGCCTTCAGTTTAATTCTGGTGGGTAATTTGGGGAGGGGCAGGGTATGGGAAGCTAGAAAAAATTCCTGGGTAAGAATGAGGTGCGTGGGAGCCTCTTCATTCTGCTCTGGCTTTGTATCCCAAGTGTCCCAAAGGCCTACTGTTTCCTCTAAGAAATCATGGATTGGTATGGCAATTAGCAGATGGGACATCAAAGGACTCTGTTGAGGAGCCTGAGCATAGCCCACCATGCCGGGTTGTGTTTTGCTATGGGGAGTGTTAGAATTCTCTCTGGCCATAGAATCCAAACACTTTTGATGAATGCAATGATATACTTTCTCTGAAAATGGTGTTGCATGGAGTGGGTCAGAATGATGGCAAGGACTGTCTTCTAGAATCTTAAAACTCCTTTCCACACCGTCCATGTGCTAGTTTCTAGTTGATATGGTCACCATTTCTAGGGCAGAGTAGTTTATATAGTCTGTCGTGTGGATCCCAGCCTCTTCACTTACTAGCTGTGTGTCTTTAGCTAGCTTCTCAAAGTCTCGGTTTTCTTATCTGTAAAATGGGCATGTGCTGGTTTTTATTCTCATAAGGTATCTATGAGAATTACATAAAGTAATAAATATAATACTATACTTGGCATAGAATACCTGGTTCCTCAAAGTCTATTAGATTTATTTATTATCTCCGCCCCCAGGGCTTTCCAGCAGCTGAAGCCTCAGTTTTGGGAGCTTACCATCTCTGCTATACATCCTATGGAGACATCCCTTTCTTCCCCCTCCCTTGACTGTTGAGCTGTTAGAGTTTGCAGCCAAGGACACTGCACATCAATCTCTCTCCTGGACACTCTGTCCCTGGGACTTTGGCTCCTCTCCCTGCAACTCTGTCCCAGGCTCCTCTGCAAAGCGTGAGTCAGTCTCCAAGTCCTGTCAGCTGATCTCTGTGGTGTGTCTGCTTGGGGCTTCGGGACACTCGGGCTGGGAGGTCTTGCTCCTTATCATGGGTGACCCTGCTGTGAACCTTTCTGAGGCAGTGGGGAGAAGTGTAAAACATTCAGACAAGTTGTTATTTGTCATCCCTCTCGCCCACCCCTAAAATATTAACGGAATTTCACTCACTCTCTAAAACACAGAATTCGGTCAAAACCCTTTTTGTCTGTAGACACAGAGTGAACATTTAATTTGGCTCTGGAGCTGTGCTGAAAAACGGCTCCAGTGGCCAGATGGGGTGTCTGTGGTGGGTCGGCTCTCCCTGGGCGAGGAGGTGTGACACAGGGAGGAGTCGGTGTGGCCTGAGGCTCTGTGGTGATCCTAGGCTGTGTCCACAGCTGCCCCAGGCTGGAAGAATCCTCAGCTCCTGCAGGACACCCTGGCAAAGCAGTGCCCACAAAACAGCTGGTTGTCTTTCTCATGTGGAAACTGGCTCAGTGGTTTCTGTGGTAATAGGACTCCCCCACTCTGTCTCTGATGAGCTCCATTGAGAAGCTTTCTGGCTGGGGTGTCAAAGCCTGGGATAGGGAACCTTTTCAGAGAGGTTGAGTTATCTACATCCTTTATCCATAGGGAACTGGGCTTTGTAAACCCAAATCATTTGTAAGATATAAAGAGTGAAGCTGTAAGCTGGGGTGTTAGGGTGTTAGAGAGGTTGGCTGAGCTAGGAAAGAAGGAATGCTGAGTCAGTCGATGCAGGCAGATTTTGATGAGTGTTGTGAATTACCGGTTTGGCACGGGGACATGGATTGGCTTTGTACCAAATCATTGGTGTGTGTGGGGGGGGGTGGTTGGGAGAAAGGCTGGCACCAGCAGAGACCCCGACAGGCAGGCTTAGATAGACTGACAGTATCTGTGAGCTTCCTCTCAGACCCTGGAGGGCTTGTGGAGAATCCAAAGTCTTCCTCAGGAGGTAGAATTGATTAGCCAACCCCTAAAGGAGGAGGAAGGTCATTCTTCTGTCTCAATTACTAATGCCCTGTCCACTGGGAGGGATAAAGCATATTTCTCAGATAAGAAAACAGAAGTGAGGAATCTAGAGGGTAGGAAAATTGGAATGAAGATATTTTTCCTTTCTGATTATTCTAGAAAGACAGAAATGACTAGATGGTGGATGACAGTTGCCCTTTTGTATGGAGACTCAATGTAGAAGGAAGAGAAAGAGCTGGCAAGTTCTGCAAGCTAATTATACTTGGAGCTGAAACTTATATTTGGAAGCTGACAAAAGACCATTATCTTGCCTTTACCTGGGTTATTTCCCTACTTATTTATGAATTTATAACATAAGGGAGAACAGTTACTAGATCTCTGCAATTATTAATGGAATGATACTAGAAGATACTAGAAGAGCCTGCTGACTTCTTCATGATTTAAGCCGGTGGGTTTGATTCCTGATTTTCATAATCTGTACCTGGAGGTTTGTATGGGAGAGAATCATTGGGGTAGGCAAGAAACATGGTACCCATAAACCGTGAGGGCGCCCCAGAGATCATGACAAGAACTTTCTTCTGACAGCTGGGGACAGCTTTCTGTGGGTGAGTGGAGACATAATCCCTTTTATCCTGGCTTTGGTTTGCTTGACTACCTCTTTAGCAGTGTTTTTCATGGCTGCAACAGGTGTCAGACTGCAGACAGGGGCTGAGAGCTGGCCAAGGTCCTTTGTCATTTGTGACCTATATGGCTGGACTATGAAGTCTTATTCTCAATAGACGTCCATTGCCATGGGGATGGGAGATAAGATATTGTGTTCATTTCTGACAAAAGTCTAGGAACCAGTTGGGAAGAGCAGACTCTTCTTATGGATCTCTGTTCCCTCCTGCAAAATAAGTAGCTATCATGGAAGATGCTGGGGGCAGGGGTAGATACCAGGAGGGATGAAGATGTCCAAGGGGTTCATTGCTGCCTTGGAAAATGGTACCATACATTTGCAAATCACATGCAGTCCAAAGAGAAGAAACAGCTGGATTCTTTTCATCGCCTAGCTTGCCTATTATCTCCAGCTAATACACCATACTGAGAGTGCAGAAACCTGGAAGTGTACCATAGTGGGGTGCAGCACTGGATTTGAGACTGCCCCTGGTTAGTTGTGGCACTGAAGAAGTTGCTTGGTTTTTTGGTTCTGTTGGTTTTGTCTTCTGTTGGTGGGATAGGGAGAGTGGAGTGGACAGGAATTGGGTGGCCTCTCTTGTGTGACTCACTGGCCACAGCCTGACCATGTCTCACATACACAGCAGAGATGGGGCTTGCTTTCAGCAGTGGTGCGCTCTGCCCCCCTTCCTCGCTCTCCAGCAGGTCATTGTGCTGACTCGACTCATACAAACCCCCATCTGGACGCAGTCCAAACACCAGATGTGCCCCCGATTAGTGTCGGTCTGGGGAATGTTTCCATGACTGAAAGGTCAGTGTCGGCTGGAAGTGCCCAGAGTGGGTGTCTACCCCCCACTCCATGTCAGCTGCAAGACTGGAACCTTCCATTATCTCACTGGCCAAAGAGCTGAGCTGGGGCAGGATGGGGGCTGCTGGGGATGGGGGTTGCAAATTCAAGAGGGCCTTGTTTTACTCCCTTCCCTCTTTGCTCTCAGGCTGAATGACAAGAGTGTGATTTTCCACTTGGAAGAGACTCCAGGGGTGTGCAAAGAGGGAAGCCCTGCTGGTGTGTAACTGAAAACACTTAGTTCCCTTTTAGATTTGCCATGTGCTCATGTCTCTTCTGATTTTCTTACAGGGGCTGTCACCTTCACTATGAAAGGAGAAACGGACGATAATATTGTGATGGGCTGGGTTGCCATGTTTTACCCTATTGACAGGTCATTTTAAGTATTGCTTCTACACTTTAGATAAGGCTTTCATGTTTAATTTCATGCATGTAGGGCTGGGTGAGGCTTTCCTCTAGGTAGCAATGAAAATTAAATACAATTGAGTTTGATGTGTATCTTATTGATTCCAGACCCAATTCAGTAGACTGTGACACTTTAGCGACCTGCAAATTCTACACATTAGAGTTCATATTTTATACAAATTCTGTATAAGCGAGATGTGGACTTGCATTTCCACCAGCAGTATCCAACTTCCAGAGGCCCTGTCAGAAGATGAAAGCTACTAATGAAGACACATCACAGGTGGTATTTATGGTCACCCCTTAGGGGAAAAAAGATTCATGAATAATTTCATGGAAATTAGAACAAAAAACCGAGCCATAATTTCCTCAATTCCAGGTTCTCCTTTGGGTTCTCTGCAGGCCACATCTTGTTCCGTGTGTCACCACAACTCCATTTCAAAGGGATGAGGCAGGAGTGGGGAGAGGTCGTATGTTAACTGGCTTGGGAACTGCTAGGTAATGAAGAGGGTTCAATGCCTTTGATTGATGGCACCCTGTTGAGCAGAGTTTCTGTACTTTGTGTGTGACTGTTGGTGACGTTTGCTTTTCTGTGGCTCATGGCTCCTCTGATAGTCCTGTCATTAGAGAAGACCCTTGAGCAAGGGAAACAGTTGGTGATCAGATCAAGGCAGGATGGGCAGGTTTGGACCAGTCTGAGTAACTTCACCATCATCTCTCTTCTGCAACTGGGCTGTGAATTAGAGACTTCACTTAGCCCAAAATGGGAAAAATGAAATTTTTTACAAGTGGGCATGGCCTTTTGAGGCAGGGGGTGGGGGGGAAGTGTCTTCTGCCAGCTGGGGCAGGGAATAGAGGTAAGTCAGAAAGGCTTGGGGGAAATGGTATTCCCCACTGAGGGTCTCAAGGCCACTTGTAAAATGACTCCTAGGTGTTAGTCTGCAGCCAAGGTTCCCAGCCTTGGCTGCACTTTGGAATCTCCTGGGGAGACATCCAGGTCCCATCTCACACCAATTACTTCAGAATCTCTGGAGGGGTGGGGTTCGGGGTCCCCAGGCTGAGGTAGATTTAAAGGCTCCCTGGGGTAATTCCAATGGACAGCCAGGCTTGAGACCCAGTGATCTTGGACCTTACTAATCATAAGTGTTGTCTGAGGGCAGTGGCACCAGTATGGCCTGGGACTTTAGGCATGCCCAGCCCCAGACCTACTGAGTCAACCTCAGCATTTTAGCAAGATCCATGGGAGATTCAAAGTTTATTAAAGTGTGAGAAGCTATGCTTCTCAAACTTTGCTTCACATTATAATCATCTGGAGAGCTTTTAAAAACAAAAACTCCCAATGCCCAGGCCATACCTCATACGGATTAAATCAGAATTTCTGAGGGTGGGATGCAAGCATCAGTAGTTTTTTATAGGTTTTTCAGGTGATTCCAATGTGCATGGGTTCTCAGCCATGGCTACATATTAGAATCAACTGGGGACCTTTTAAATATCCTGATACCTGAGCCCTACCCTTAGAAATTCCAATTTAATTGGTCTAGGATAGGCAGCAAAAAAAATTCCTAGGTGATTTGAATGTGCAGCCAGCTAGAGCCTCTGTTCCAGAATGTTGGTCTAGCTTCGTTGAAGGGAAAATTGGCTTAAAAAAACTTCCTACAAGTCAATGGATCAAGAACAGTTGAAGGAAATAAACATACCTAGTATCAGGACTTTGATATCTGATCTCCTTACATATGATTACTACTATACTTTTATATTTTTATATGAATTCAAATATTCATATGCTCTTTTAGTTTTCTAATAAAGTTCCTTTTGAAAAATTTAACCTCAGTACAGCTGACTTAAGGGACAAAAGCAGTGGTATAACACTTAGTTCACTCACAGGAACTCAGAGCAGTTAAGCGGTGAGGTGGGATGGAGGCAAGTTGAAGGTAGAGAGCTTGGGAAGCTGGACTGAGGTGAGAAAAATAGGAAGGGAGAAGACAGTGAGCTGATTGCAACTTCTTGTCCCTTTACCCTGTAATACTCTCACCATTTCCAACATAACTGTGGAGTCAAGAAGTTCTATAGTAGGATTGTCGGATTTAGCAAATAAAATCACAAAGTGCCCATTTAAACTTGGATTTTAGATAAACAATGAATAATTTTTTAGTATAAGCATGGACTATGAAATATTTGGGACATATTTAAATTTTTTTTTTTTTTTTAGTTGTAGATGGACACAGTACCTTTATTTTATTTTTATGTGGTGTTCAGGATCGAACCCAGTGCCTTCCACATGTAAGGCGAGCACTCTACCACTGAGCTACAATCCCAGCCCTTGGGACATATTTATATTAGAAAATCTGAAATTCTATTTTAACTGTTTGTCTTATATTTTATCTTCTATAGGCAATTCTAAATTCTCGTTGTTGGAAATATCTTCCCTCTGCATGGGGCTTTCTCCAGGCTTTGAGTTGGCTCTTGCCAACTGAGGTGAGGTCCATGTGCGTTTGTTGGAACCCTGTCCTCAAGAGATCCACCATCCTGTCTTCCACAGAGGCTCCTCCAGTCCTCCAGTGTGTGTGTGTGTGTATGAGACTCTGCCTATGGACTCTGTCCTTGAACTTCACTTCTTCCAGGTTCTCTTGCAGTCCTTGGTGTTGAGGTATTTCCAGGGAGCTCCTCAGAAGTAACCTCTTCTCTGGCTGTTGCTTGCCTGGTGCAGGCTGTGTGGACCCAAGAGAAAGGGAGCTTGATGGTCTCAGGGGTGACAGTGTTGAGCAGATGGTGACTCAGAAATATATAGCAAGGGAGGGGGAAAGGCAAGCTCAGCTCACCAATTGCAGCCATAGCGTCTCCCTGAAGTGGCTGTTCCATGTCTGAGATCACATGTCTGGCTTTCAGCAGAGGCTGCTTCATTGAAACATGGTCAGAGTCAAAAGCACAGTTTCCTATTCCATTCTGCTCAGAAGAGCTTATCCTGGCTGGCTCAGAGTGGGGAGGAGCTTGCAGGAGGAGTAAAGGGAGGCTGAGAGTGGGAAGAGACAGCTGCCAGCCAGAGAAGCACAGATACAGCTGGAGAGATGTCCAAGATGAGATCTATCTATCTATCTATCTATCTATCTATCTATCTATCTATCTATCTATCTATCTATCTATCAGGGATACCCTGCTGGTTACATGGCTAGGGATATGCAGGGAGAAGGAAGGGTAGCTGGGATTATCTTTCCAGCCTGCCTTTAAAAAGACCCAAGCTGATGCTGGCTTGTTCTCTGGGTAGGATCTTTAAGTCAATGAGCCTCACAAGAAGTCCAGGAGGGTGAGCAAGGTTGGAGCACTGGCTGGTCAGGCTCCAAGGCTATGACTCCTTTTCTCTGGTGCTGTGGAGGCTGAGTGTCCCTGTACGTGGCTCCTCCAGTATCAGACTCTGCAGGCACTGATGGGGCTTGGAGAGCAGCACCTTCTTGGAAGAATCTTGTGTGAACTACCTCTTGTTGGAAATCTCCCTTTTCCCTCTGACATCACCATCTTTCTAGAGTAATAAATCACTGCAGTTTAAAAGAAGGTTGCAGACTTGGCTTTGTGGTTTTTTTTCTGGGATTCTGGGCTTGGGAAAGCCAGGCTCTTCTGTCTCCTTTTCTGTGTCCTGTCCTCTCTTGTCCCATTCCTGATGGGCTGCAGTGTGGAATGTCTTTCCAGAACATCTACCCCAGGTACCCTAAAAGTGAAACGGGGGAAGATTTTCAAAAGAAACATCAATATCTCATGGCTAAATAAAATGATGAATGGGCTTTTGCCTCCCTGACATCTTAGTTGAGGGCAAGAGCAGCCAGAGGCTCTGGAAAAGTTTGGAAGAAAAACCAGGCAAAGGGAAGGGACAGCTTCAGAACAAGGAAACCTCCTAAGCTCTCCCTTGCAGGGACTTGAGTCCAACAGCCTCATTCAGATTGTGCTGAGGCAGGGGCAGCTGACATGACATCTACTGACTGGTCAGTAGAGCAGGCCAGGCCTGTCTGGCTCTCTGGGGTTTGACCAGTGTCTGGCCATGAGCTCCAAGTCTGTACTTTAGGACCAGGCTGCTCCTTCCTGAAGGAGGAGTTGGACTGGCCCTCCAAGCTTGCAGCCCACTCTGGAATCTGATCTAGGAATAGCCTGTTGGGGAAGTGACATGGATCGTGTGTAACTGTCACATAGGCAATGTATCAGGTCCTGGCAACTGTGGAATGTGGACTTCGGTGGCCTCTGGGGCCAGGGTCACTGTAACCCAGCTCCAGGAAAGAACTGTTTACTTCATAGAATTCCCCCAGGCTGGCACACAGAGCCTGGTTGGGAGATGGCCTGATGTGGACCTCACTGCCCAGATCCTGGCTGCCTCTTTTCTGTCCACCTCTGACCAGACCCAGGCCTGACCTGACAGCCCTGAATCTCTGCCTGGTAGAGCTGTCAGTGTGTCTAGTGCCTGGGAGAAACTCCCTGGCAAATCTGTCTGGGGTGGTGATGTGCATTTTTTTTTTTTTGCCGTGGAGCTGGGGGTCTGAACACCTGGCCAGTGTTGGTGGAGGGGACCGGGGGCAAGCTCAGGAGTGAGGCATGGCTGGGATGGCTGGAAAAGAAGGCAGCCAGCTCCTGGAAAGGCCCCACTCTTCATCCTTTCCTGGCCTCTCTATTCCTTACTGGCATTTCTCATGTTCTGGGATAAGGTCTAAATTGGGCACTTGGATGAGACATTCCCTGGGAGCTGCCAACCTTCTGGGTCCAGGGTGGTCACAGGACTGGCTGGCTCCACATGTCCTCCTCTGGGTTTGGCACTTGCCCTAATCCCCATGGTGTCTGATGCCAGTACCTGCTGCCTGCTAAAGTCCTCTTTTACTGTGCCCGTTTCCAGCACGATTTGGAGCTGCCAAGGTGAGTGTGTGTGTGTGTGTGTGTGTGTCTACACATCCTCCTTGGATATTTAACTAAATATTGTTGGCCCCAAGTGAGGCACAAATTCCACAGTCCTTTCCAGCCTTGGATTTGTGATTGGAGAAAGTGCCTGAGTACAATTTGTTAGACGTGTATAATTCTCCCCACCCTTAAGGCCCTGGAGCATGTGTCTTCTCCCTTGGGAAGTCCTTCATTGGGACTCAGGCCTGTGTCTCCCACCCTCTCTGGGCTACTAGGACAGAATGTGCCTTGTGCAGCCAGCTCTGAGCTCTTCTGCTTTTGTGCCATTTTTGAAAGATTCATCTTGTTACCTCACAGAGGGCAAGAACCCATGTTTAAGAATCGGCCAGACACTGGTTCGAAGCCTGATTCTTGCTTACAAGCTGATAGTTAATTCTCTAAGACTCAGTTTCCTCGCTGTGCCTCCCTCTCAGGGAGGATTCATGAGCTCACACACAGGAAGCC